GTTCAGGTTGTTTTAGATTCTACAGTTGTGTTAGGATAGTTGTTCAGAGATATCTAATGATAATACTGGTGGTTATATACCGTATTTGTGTTTATAAACTGTATCTGCATCTTGCTTTTTCTCAGTGAACTGTCAATGGTTCACCTGGCATCATTCAAGAAGTCCCAGGGGTAGGGATAGGGGTCATAAGGGGAGGCAAATACTCTTATCCAGGGAGAAGGAAATGTTTTTATCCAAAAGAACAAATTTTCATCAAGGTGGAAGCCAATATCTGCATCAGCAATGGCATTTAAACAAAATATTCGCTCAATGCTCAAAACAATACTTTTCAAAGAAACAGTGATTTAGAATACAAAGGTTGTCAGGGGATACAGACTCGGGGGTGGGGGCATCCTTATTCAATTTTGCATATCCAAAATATCTTGTTTATAGATAACTTATTGACTTTTTAGATGTCACAGCCTCAGTTTGTACAAAAATAAATCTACTGAACTACACTACACTTCACTATACTACAATAAACTGCACTACGCTATCACACTATGCTACATATGCTTTCATTGCTGAAGACACAAAATTAGAAAATCATTCCTCCCCACCTGGCTACACATGTCTCTGATATTAGTAAGTTGAGATCATTAATAACATTTTGACACATTTTTTTAATTATACGTCACTTTTGACTTCATTCAATGACTACTTAATTCAAACTTTTTTCAGAATAGAGATCGCAACATTGGAGATGAAATGTCTTTTGTTCGGGAATATTAATGACCATTCATAAAGATTGAGTCGGATGAAAAATGAGCAGTTCGTGTTTATTCAATAGTGATTTCAAAAGAAAATGAAAAATAAAGATCTTTTGTACTGTAAATTATTTTTACTGTTTGAAATGAACTGGTGAAAAATGAAATAATTCCAAAAAGTTTCACATTCACGATATTGAGTATTACAATTATTTTAGCCTATTTTCAAATCATATCTTAAAAATTCTTAGTTGGCAATAAAAAATAGTGTAGAATCCTATATATATTCTCATAAGAGCTTAAAGTAAGTGCATTTATTGACCTATGGGAGATTAAAGCTTTTTTATATCTTTATTGATCTATGAGAGGTCTGATTTCACTTTCTATGTGTAAGTTGCATGCCATGTTGAATCTGAATTCAGTTCTACAAAAAACTATTATAATTTAGGTCTCATACGTGACACTATTTACAGTTAAATTGATTTTTTGCTCTTGTAATGTGCTGATATATGTTTTACAGTATCACTGTATATTACATGTATTTTTATATACTGTGCATCCTTTTTATAATAAATAAATACAAGACATTAACATGCAAAATGCCATCACCTGCCATTTGTTACAGATGCCAAACTCCAAACACCAACCTTGAACTCCAAACACCAAGTGCCAAACATCAAACACCATTTAGTTATGGTCTTGTGGTGACATAAAAATAAAACAACCTCTCTTCTTAGAAACGAAGACATACATCTTCAAACGCACGGTCTTCACTGCGTTCATCCGACGGGAGCCAAGTGAGTGAAGATGAAGACTATACATTTGGGCCTGAATTTTGTGGCTGTATCATAGTATAAGATGTATTGCATATCAGATTTAATACATGTAGTTGGATTATTGGCAAGATCGCTGTCAGTAACACTGAGTTAAACACCTTGTAAATCTTGTGATCTTCATATAAATTACTTGGAATCAATCACATGTTAACCATATTTCCTTCCAAATCATCATATTTCATAAAAAAATCATCATCATGAATCTTCTGATCTTATTACTATGTGTGCAGAGTCTAGTGATAAGCTAGCCTCTGCCTAGTGCTATATTACAATAAAGCAGTCCAGTCCCCAAGACCGTTGCCCCATTTATGGCCCAGGCTCTTTAAAAGAGAAGCTCATTTTAGAAGATATGCAACTACATTTTGATGTGTTGAATGCTATCAAAACACTTATCAACAAGCCTAACATAAAGAATAAATTTTTGATGGATCTAATTGTCACCACATACCAGTATAAAGTCATGAATTATAAATTATTTTCTCATTTTTCACTGTCAAACTAAGTCCCTGAACCTCATCTTTAAATACTGCAAATCAGAGCGTTTTATTGCAAAGATCTGAGCAAACATATCAAAAGTCATTGATAAAGGTTCAACCTGCTTCAAAATTAGATTCTTGGCTAAAATCGTAAAATATACAAGGTATTTACGTGACAAAATGTCACCATCTGGTAAGCCATAGGAAATGGTTACAATAGTGAAAAAAAATTTGTAAGACCCTGACCGTGCTGAACTCTAAACAACAGTCCCAAAATTGGTAGCCATAATAATTCAAGAAATAAAATGGGAGACACAGTGAAAAATATTGCCCAAAACCTAATAATAAGATCTTGGCACTAATCTGTTCTTTCATCTGGAATATTGATGACGCAGATTCATAATTTTGATAATCATTTCAGTGCCTGCCTACACAGACATAGGTCCAACAGCGCAAGATAATGACAATACAGTACTGATTAAAATGGAAAACGAAATGAACACTGCGGTAATTTAACCAAGGGTGAATTCAGATCAATACTGGAGATTCAACAGAGTTCTATTGAAAGCTATGATAAGGAATGAAATCTACTCCATTGCCTGCTTTTGTTCAACATTTCAAAGATGTTTGTACTATAATCAGATCACTGCAGTTAAATAAGATAGAGAGTTTCATCTACACTCAGTGTAACTGTAAAAATTGGCAATCTTTAGACAGGAGTGTTTGTACAGTTAAACCTGTCTTGGTCGAACGCCTTTGGTACCTCTAAAAAGTGTTCCACTAGGGGGGGGGGGGGGGGGGGGGGGTGTTCCACTTATAGAGGTTCATTTAACATTAAGTCTGTTGGTTTTGAGACTCCGAAAAAAGCAGTCCAATTATAGGGGTTCATTTAAGTCAGTTGATCTTGAGACTCTGAAAAGTGTTCTACTAGAGGTGGTCCACTTTACAGAAGATTCCACTGTAGTTTGAATGATTAACTGTTGACATTTTCCCAGAAATAGAAGTGCTTGTTTGTCAGAGATATTGAATGTATAGAAATGTAAAGGACGACACACAAAAATATATGTCTAATACCACCCTAATACCCCTATTAATAATGACACACAAACACACTGTCAAATTACTAAAAGGCCCGGGATGTTTTTTCTGTCATTTGGAAATATGAAAGTAAAAAACAGTTGGTATATTTCATCAATCATTAGCAGGAAACCAGTAACAACATAAATATACATTACCAAAGCTGTCATGGATCAAGCCTTAGTTTTGTTTCAAGCCCCTGTGGTCTCCTGCCCCCCCCCCCCCCATAATAACCTTACCACACTCAATCCCTACCCTCCACTTGTTAGGCTAGAGGTTGCAGCCATATATAAATTACCCCCCCCCCTGCCCAAGTTATAACCTTACCACAGTCAATCCCCACACATAGTTAAACTCCCACCTGTTCTTCATCAAGCGTTTAAAACAGACTCACAAATGAAATCAATCATTCATTTTTTATGTGCTACCACACAAAATGACACCAGTGGAGAATAAACTAAAATAATTGAGACAAGCTGTTCACTGTACCACCAGGAGTAAATGTGAGGGAAATTCAATCCAAAAAGTTATTGCCAAATTGTATACTTCTATTAACCCTGAGTCCAAGCACAGACCCTGGACATGCTATGTAGATGAAGCTCTCTTTTAAGTAGCTAAATTGAATCATTGGAAAGGGTATGTTTCTTGTTGATAATTTTAAAAAATGAATTAACATAGCACAAAGTTCGAAAACGAAAACCTCTTTAGCCAAGTTATTAATCCATTCAATAACAGTTTGTGTGCCAGATTACATAATTTGAAGTATTTTCTTGTATCTCTGCACCAGACTAACAAGAAAACATCAATGAAGGTTGTAAAATATGGAGAACATATGAAAACCTGAAATCTACTAAGATTAATTCTTAAACTACAATTGGGATTAGCAGGGTTAATTGGAACAAGATGTTGAACTGAACCTTTTGATCATTCCTGTCAAAAATCATTACTGACACACTTATCTACAACAGTTGCCTATATGGGGCTCCTCTGGTATTTTAAATGGCAGAGCTACACAAGGCTTGTTCATTGCCCCCATAGGGAGCCCCATGGAGTCATCAACATTTGCTCCCTATGTAAGGTTTATCTGGTGTTCTACATGACAGAGCAACACAAGGATTATATATCACCCCCCCCCCACCCACACACACACCTGTAGAAGGCTGTATGATATCAGTAATGCATGATACATGAGGGCCCTCCTAAGGTTTTTTATATACCTCTACCACCCTTGCCACAACCACTCTATCCTAAACTACCCTGTGCGCAGAGTCTAGTTATAAACTACAGATGACGAAGACGAAGCTCTCTCATAAGAAGTGAAGTCGAACAATGCAAAGGGTAATCCTAAACCATCCTCACCTCCACTCTGTCCTCAAACCATCTTTAAGCCACCTCAGTTAATAATGTTTATAGATCACAATGGCTTCTATATAAAAGTACCATCTGTAAACCAGAAACATCTTGTCTGCCATATTGTTTTCATAAACAAAACCCCACTTTTAATTTAAGATCAGCTGATGTGTATCTCACCTTGACAACCAAACAGACAACAAAGAAGCCAGCAGAACAGAACAATTTATGCGACAGGTAATTTTTAACCACGCATTATGAACACAAGGTGATACAATATCGCACTTTGAGGAGCAAAATGGAATTTACCCATCATGCCAAAAACATTATCAGATCTTGGCGCTATGTCTGCTCTTGCATCTATAGTATTTTCAAGTTGAACAGATAAATGGTGATGATAAATTCTGATGACAAAACTTATGTTGCACCTACCAACCAGCAAATCTACATGACTGCTTACCGAGCAACGACAATATAGCATTTTTTCCATGACTTATATGAGAAGCATGACTTACCTGTCTCGCTTTATATAAGTCATCTCATCCTTCACATATGCAGTGACCATTGCATTCTTCTGCTGTCTTGTCATATCCTGCAGTCGTACTTTCCATTTGTCTGGTTGCGAGGTTTCTACACCAACAATCTTCAATCCATTACGTGCCTTGGCCCTGCAAAACATAAGTCAACAACCATGTTATAATGTTATATTATTATATTGTGGCTTGCACTATTGACCAATATACATCTACTAAAATATTTGATAAAATCACTCCCACTGGTTTTGTAAATTATGCAAGGGCTTCAAATGAATTTCTGGCAATAGGCTAAACATATAAAAGAAATGGAATAACAAACAAGGCATTAACATGCAGAATGTCACCAACAACCATTTGTTACAGATCTCAACCACCGAACACTGTCCACAGAAGGTTTAACAATATGTCAGCACTTGTGGTGGGACATAATTAAAACAAGAGGGTCAAAAATTATCAGAAATTAGTGGCACCCATCCTCCCATACACCAGCATAAGGCGATGACAAGATAGCACCTTTTTCAAGTTTGATAAAAAGAAAATACAGCTGGACAGAGTATGTGGATTAAGGTATAAACACTTTGCTGGGAATAATTTAGCAGAAAACCTCATGATAGAATCTGATTCTATTTACAGTCTATCCCCACTTCAAAGGCCAAGATATCTTTCAAATCCACTTCCAGTAATATATATCCTCTACCACTAGTTACTCATAAGTGAAAAGCTTTAAGAACTGTTACAATATTAAGGTATGGTGCTATAAAGGCAATGTTTCACTGAGGGGAGTTCTGTTTTGCCACCATTTGAGGGCTATTTTATGATAGCTATAACCACCCTACAATAATATTAAGACATTTTCTGGAAATATGTCCTGTTTTTCGATATACCTACTCGTTATCTGATTTTCTAGGATGCTGTAATAATCTATTAGTATTCTCCATGTCGAATTCAGCTTCTTATTGGCCGTATATTATATTTATTACTTTTGTTATCAATGATAAATGATGAACTATAAATTGTGATTTTTATGGAAGGTTGAGGTTTTGATTGAGAATGCCAATATGGAGATTCTACCAGCATTGCAGCATACTGACTTCCTTGGTCTAATACAAATTCTAAAAATCATCTTCATTTTGACAAAGAATCTCTTTGAGAAGCAAAGTCAAACAAATGCAAAGAGTACTTCTATCAATATTGCCTAATACTACATGTACCTCCTTGTACAACTACATTCTATCTTATCTTTTTAAGTCCCCCCCTGATATGCATACCCCCCCCCCCCCCCTCCCGAGATATATATACTTCACATCCACAATGGAGAAAAAGTTTTTTTTAATGGCCAAATTAAACTGTTAGAAAGTACAAGGCAGTTATATTAGGTAAGTTATCTAGATCTAGAATTGGCAGTGGAGGGTGCAGTCATCATGGAACACCCTGTATAGAACACCCTGTATACTCCTACTTGTACTAATATGTAAATATGTCTCTGCCTATTAAAACATCTCATATTTGTAAACCATCCTTATTGAAGTATTGATGTTTATTTTAAAATAATGCAAGTATTTTTAAACACCACTTAAATTATGCTCAGTAATTTCATACCTTTAATCATTACTTTAAGTATTAATATAAACAATGAGCCAATTTGCCCTCATAAACAGCTTTCCTTTGATAAACCCATTGAAAATCAATTAAGATAAGGATTGTCATGGACTTCTGCAAGTTGAATGTTAGCAATATCACGTTCTAAGATAACACTTCATTGAAGTATGCTCAAACCTTGCTAGAAAGTGGTTGTTGAAGATTAGATGATGTTTACAAAACTCCTGAAAATAATTCATTTTTTGAAAAAATGATGAGACAATCAAATCATTGCTGTACATTAGTTTTCTCTAATTGTATACGAGTAAAAACTTTTGATAAGTTTGAGAAAAATCCCTGTAGCCTTCAAAATATTGATTAAACAAACTTCTTAGTGACAGGCATTAGGGAACCTTCATCAGGAAGAGGCTTCTAATTTTTCAGAGGGACTCCTTATTTATCAGGAGGGGGCTCATTTTTGTAATGGAACTAGACTTAGTAACACTCAAAATTTTGTCAATTTTGACCAAACTGACCAAAATTTTGTCAATTTTGACCAAACAGACCAAAATTTTGTCAATTTTGACAATACTGACCAAATGCCAATTCATAGAAATCAAAGCCTCAGGGTAAACCATAAAGGAACAGACATGTTAAAAAGCTCAATGAGATATGTCAATGGCAATGAGCCTCCTACATTCAGAATCATATAAGACAGACCACAACATGAGTTGCTCATACAGCTGCATTGGATTGATATGACCTGACAGAAGTGAAACATTTTGACCACTGCAGACTGAAGAGTTGTTGAAACACATGTTGTGTATACCCTTGAACATAATGTACACAAGGCTACTGGATACCCTGTACCTCCATAGGCCAGGCACTTCGCCCTCTGACTTAACATGATACCCTGTACCACCATTGGCCAGCCACATCACCCTCTGACTTTACACGATACCCTGTACCTCTATTGGTCAGCCACACCACCCCTCTGACTTAACACTCTTTAATAGCACATCAACTACTCAACTGGGAAAACCTTGCAATGGAATCCTATACTACAGATCTATTATCTTCTATTTTCCACCTGAACTACTGACTTACAGTTAGGGGTTGTATCCAATTGTTAACAGCAATAGAAAAACAATGGGGTAAAAAATGATTTCATTTGATTTTTTGAAAAATACAAGTAAAAGGCAAATCACCATTTTGAAGTTTCATGTGTATGGGGTAGGGGTTTGCCAAAATGATATTATTTTCCATTTTCCACAACTGTCTTCATTTTGAAACCACCCCTTAGACATAACATATGTCTTTACACACTTCTTTTACCGATGTCATCAAGTGCAGAAAAGTTCATCAAAATAAAAAATTGGAAATTTGAAGCATTTCGTCCATCTTGCCATGTGCTCTAGGAATGGACAGTGGATGTTGTATTATTTTAATACAAGAAGTATACATAGAAGAGATAGTGACTCCATTTTCTGTTTTAGATGATTCAAGTTAAATCATATAAGTGATCAGGAACTCCTAAAACCCCAAAATTAATAGCGCTCTCTCTCTCCAAAAATAAACAAAGTATAAGTGAAAAGCACCAGCACGGTGTATAAGCCAAACGCTCCTACATGCACGACGGAGCGTTTCATTACTGAAATTAAACAAAGAAACGCTCCGGAGTAGGAAAACTGGCTGGCGGGAATAAGAGGTATGAGTTCCATATTTCGAGTATACCATTCGATGGGTGTGATATTCATGTTGTACTTGGCTGACTGTTGACGTTTGAAGCAATTAGGAAGAGCTGTACGAAGCAGTATTGTTATCAAAATTCAAAAACGTATTTGTCATTCTACCGGTCAAAACCCCTTTTGTCGATACATGTGATTAGTTGAGCCAAGATTAGAGAACCAACGTATATTTTAGTCAAATTCCAATGCTTCAACGCACCATACATCATCGTAATAGTGATTAGATGACCGAAAATCCAGTCTGAGAAATGATGACATTCTCATATTCAAGAAACGCTCCGATCTGGTTAACACAGTGAACTGGAAACGCTCCGGTAGTCTAGATCAGTTTAGGAAATATATAGCTTGCCTTTCCTTTTCAGGAAGAGAAAGAAAAGATCTATTATACCCCTTGGCATCAAAAGAAGAAAGATTAATTCACATATAAATTTTAGTTTTTTTCTATAGTTTTATGATTTAGCACACATGTAGGCATGACATCATCTAATGTAGGCTTAAATCAGCTAGTTGCACGTTTAGCACCACCAGGTTCAGATGTTTCAATTTGCCTAACAAGTACAACACGTTTTTGAGAGATAGATTCAATTCGGAACTCTTCTCTAATGATCTGAAAATGATATCAAAACAAAATGGTAAGAGCGTTTCTAAAATTGTGTTCTAAATCGACGGAGCGTTTTGAGGAAAACAAGCGATTTTTCGAGAACAAGTAATGGATTTGGACTGGGATTTTAGGAAATGAGAATATACGAGTTTGTGATCTACTACTTTAACAGAAAGATTAACGTTTTCATAGAAATACTAGTTTAATTCGTAATTTGTGGTCAAATCGTCATCTTCAGATTCGTTCGATCTACACTACGGAGCTTTGATCAAGCAAATAACAGTTAACCACCAGAAGTTGAATAAATAAGATATTTGCTTACGGTATTGTTCATCGAATGGTACATAATATTTCACCATAACATATGATATGTAAGAGAAACGAGAAAAACAATACTTACGGTCATAGTGGAATCTTCATTAGCCGCCATTTTATTTCGCTCTGGAGCGTTTCCGCGTAAATGAAACGCTCCGCCGTGCATGTAGGAGCGTTTGGGTTATACACCGTGACCAGTGACAAAAATTTTAATACAAGTGACAAACTGTAGCAAGTGTCCAAAGGCAGCATTACAGTGCCAATGGTTTAGACACAGAAACCTAAAGGAAGAAGAAGATGCTGTATCTTACTGTTAACCATTTAATTATACCCATAGTTTGTAAACAAAATTATAGAGTAAAAATATACAACGTTGTCCTCAGTGTTCTTTTCAGAGAACAAAGCACATTGGAAATTTCCATTTCTCAAAAAGGCTTTTGCTCAAAGTGTCAATGAATTGCAATTCCCCCTTCCTTGAATCCAGACGCATGTGTAGATGATAAAATGAAAAATTAAAGCATTGAAATATACATGTATATATATACACTAAAATGTTCATGATCCTTGTTTAGTTCTCTCTTCAGGGCAATAAGGGTTCATTGAGTTAAACATACAACATTGATATAAAGTGATGAAGATAGCCCATAACAACACCACATGTAAAATAAATATGAATGTAGCTTCATACATGTAATAGTAGAACCTGACTATGTGTTCAAACATTTCTTATGAATATCTCTTAACACCAACTCCCCCTTTAAGTCACACCTCCAGGGGTTTCATTTCAGCAGGCAACAGGCAATTTACACTGGTTGTTTTCACAAAATCGTCTGTTGTTTTCAGGGATTTTTCAACTTTTCCATGTTAAATTGATGATTTCCATTTGTGGG